TGCCCCGTTATTGTTATATAACAACCATTTTTAAAACCATGGATACAACGGGTAGATAGAATCATGTTTTGTACACGATAGAACCCATGTTATATATTTAATTTTTGCCATAAAATATTTTAACCAGGGCTACTTAACATGAGTGATTAATTGGTTAATTACCGACTACTTCAATATTACGGATGCTCGGATAGGTGTTGGTATGGAATGCTTGATAACATACCACCACCACCGAAGCAATAGCTTTTTACAACAATAGGGGCATTCATAGAATATGACTCTATGACCCAAACCAAGATGCTTTATGAGCCCTTGGAGGGACCAATATTGAGCTCATGCTTGGTCTTCCAAATCTTGACCTTTAAAGGATTGCTTGTAGTCAAGCCAAGGTAGATGCATGGGTCCAAAACAATGTAAGAAACTTTGGAAAGTGTCGGGCTTGATACATTGTAGTAGGAAATGAGGTTGAGCCCTCGGATCCATCCGAATAGTTTCTAGTCCCTGCCATGCATAAAAAAATATTAATAATGCACTCAATTCATTTGGGCTAGGAAATATCAAAGTTTTAACCGTTATTTGTAATGGGGTCCTCTCGTCCTCGCATAAGACTACTTCCCTCACTCGGAAGGCTCTTTCAGCAGAGATTATAGACCAATCTCTTTTCGATCATTATTTTTTTAATGAATAAGCTATCTTCATACTAATTAACTTGTATCCATACTTCAGTTACTTAGGTAAAACGAGACACCCATTTTGAATATGCTCTTTTCTAAGCTCCATCACCATTAGTTTTCGATCCGTCTCCGAATTACCAAAACCTCTTCGATGCCACTCTTGACTTGTTTACACTCGCTTTAGAGATGTGTGGTGGAGGTTCTTTAGAGCTTGTGGTGTCATAGAGTGGTTGGGAATAGCTAGAGGGATAGGAACATCGATTGATAATGCAAGAATTTATAATAGCAACTTAGTTCAACATGTGAAGAGAGGAAGTTCAAAAAGGCCTAGAAAGCCTATAAAAACTTAGTTTTGCCATGTTTGATGAGAGTAACAAAAACCCAGAATTTGAGAAACTTTAGGGATTCTTTTTTCCAAATAAATAGTTAAAATAACGGATTAATCTCAACTAAAGAATGCTAAAAGTTGTGCCTACAACGTAATGATGTTATAGGGAACAACACTTTAATTTGTATGAAGATACTTAAAAGGTGTGGGGGGAACCTTATATCTATCTACCTAAATATAATCAATCATAATTCTCACAACGTTATTATATGTTTATGAAATCTCATGCAATATTAGAATCATTGTTTCTCGAATTTTTTAGGCATATCCATAGGCCTTAAATCCTTTCATAATATACTCGTCCGTCTAGGGTATGTGATGGGGTGTCATACCATCAACAAATTAGTAATTTATAATTTTCCTTACAAAGATTTCAATCATGATTATGTAATAAGGGCAAGTAAGGGTCGAACCCATAGAAAAAAGGAATCAATCGATTATTTTGGTTGTTTGAGTGCTCTTACGAGTGTAAAAGGGGCTTTATGTGGTTGGAATGCTTAAAAACAATATAAAGTAGTAAAGAATAACAATATTAAAGAGGCCTTGGTTGAACTTCGGTATCCACTTTTAGTTTGGTCGCCGATCACCAACTAAATAATTAATTTATCCTAAATATGAATATTCCCCGTAAGATAATAACATGTATGTTGACCTCGGTCTTTCCTTACTTAGTCATTAAGTCATATGATACCCTATTAATTCCCTAGCTATTTAATAACTTACTAAATGTTAGATAAATTTAATCCAATAACAACATTAAAATGAGAATGACAAGTGAAGCTAAACCACCTACCTAAGTGTTAGAGAAGATGTAACCTATTTTTATATTTTTCAAGAAATTAAACGAAAACATCAAATAATCATTAACCCTTAGTTACTAACACATGAAAGTTTAGTCAAACAATTACACGAGACTTGAATACTTAGCTAGCAATAAGTAACATGACTAAATAACTAGCATGTATTTTAATTAGTTTAATCATACAACTATGAACCAATCATATAGAAAAAACATAAAATATCCAATAAAAATAAGTTTAGAAATAAAACCAAGTAATCTCATAGTCATTAACCAAAAGCTTCAACTTGATTCAATCAAGAGTGGAGTTTAGGATTTCATAGAAAATTATAGAAAGAGTTTTTATGAAAAGCAGTATCTAAAGATTGGAAGAAAGTGTTAGTTTCAAAATAATACCTTAGCCTTGTTATTTATACCTAAAACCGGGGTTATATCACGTATGTGTATAAGCCCCACATGGCCACTAACTTAATACATAAAGTTACATGATTTTTTATTTGATATCACATGGTTTAAATGCTTGGAAAATAAGTGTTACACGGCTTATTAACTAGGTCGTGCGCCTTTGCTCTTCATTTTGTGTTCCTAAGCTTTTGCTTGTGTATATTTCTTCTTAAAGTCGTGCTGAATCTCTTCTACCCATGTAGATTTTCCTTACTTTGAAGACATGGGCATGTGACTTTGCATTGCAAATCGTGTGCAATGCCTTCTACTTGTGTGGCTTGTATTTGCTTGAGAATCCACACATTTTCTTCCTCGAAGTCATATGACTAATAGTTATTTCCTTTGTTATTTCACATGGTCATGTGACTCTCTTAAACCTCTTTGAATTTTCTCTCTTCTTTACTTAGGTTTTGGGTTTCCTTACTCCGATTCATTGTTTTTCCTACAAAATCCAAAATCGTCATCTTATTCTTAAATAAAATAATATAATACAATACAATAATTACTAAAAAGTTTAATGTAGTAGAGCATAAAAATCATGCTAATTATGCATTCATCGGTATGTGATGTGAAGTGAGAACTCGTATTATCAAATTATAACATAACTTAGCTTAGGAAGCAAAAATTAACTAGCCTATTGGTATATAGATCATCATTTATGTTTATCGATCTCGGCCCGCAAACAAGGTGGTCTAGGAGTTGCCGACTAGCTAATCGGGAAGAAATACGAAACCTTAAATATACTTGGTTTACAAAGATATCTAGGTAAGGAGTCGATTATGTATAGAGTATATATAACATCACCGTCATCCCATCTTACCTAAGTCGAGCTACATTGTTTGCATGTGAACATAAAAATTTAATTTTTTACTATGTTACGTTTATGTGCCTATTTAAGTGAGGTCATTTTGTTAAGATGTGAAAACATGATAGTTTGAATGTTTTGCCATAAAACGAGTAGTTTTGGGGTTCGAGCCGGTCTAAGGCCAATACCTCCTACTCGAGGGAGAAAGGTGAGAGAAGTTGACATTTTTTCTAATCATTAGTGAACACGACCTATTATTGACAAATATATGAGTTTTTAAATATGGATAGCTTTTTATTAGTATGAACAGAGAGTCATTGATGACTTCACTCACATAAGTGGAAAGCCATCAACGATTACAAGTCATAAATTTAGAAGGCTATCGATGACTTCATCACATAAATAGAAAGCTACCAATCACCTTATTTGGCTCAAATGAAGAGCGAATAATTGATTTAGAAGCCATTGATGGCTTCATCACATAAATGGAAAGCCATCGGTGGCTTCATTTCAAACAAGCGGACAATTAAGTAAAATAATCTCAAAACCACCGTTAGTTTTATTTAACATCAAACAAAAAATATGTAAGATGAATTTGAGAGCCACTAACGACTCTATCCACATAAGTAGAAAGCTAATGAAAACTTTATTTCGAGTAATAAAAAATAGGTAAAATTATTCTAAAACCACTCGGTAGCTTTATCGCATAAATAGGAACCACTCGGCAACTTCATTTCAGCATTGAAATCAACGATGATAAATCAATCAAGCCATAAAAACAAGAGCAAATTTTGCATTTAATTACATAGGTATAAAATGGGGAAAAAAAGGTAGTTTATATTAAATGACCATTACAAGAATATTGACTTCAACAATATTTAAAATGATAAGTATTTAATCAAAATACAATAGTTTCATTCACATTTTTTAAGTATTCTAATCATTTTTATTCATATTTTTAAGGATTTTAATAATTTTAAAATTTTTATTCAAAACGTTTTATAGTTACGGTGTCTAATTCGAGGGTCGAGTTCAAAACATCGTATGGATCCCATCAAAGTGATCAAAATTCTCTCTAAAGTCTATGCATATGGCCAAGGTGACTATTGCTTATCAAAGTTATTATAAATTTATAAAGTTTTTTTATAAATTTACAAAGTCTCCGAAACTTGGGGGATATAGCAACAAAATTATTGTTATGTTTTTCCTATTAAAAATCAACACAATTGTAGTCTATAACATCATGTTTTTCTTACCAAACTCAATCAATCAACATAACGAATCTTTACATGTGTTATGCCATTTAATGTTTATTGTCAAACCCATAAATACATTGTATTTTCTCGTTTTTCTTCACCGTGAGTAGTGGCTGGAAATGGCGGTAACTTTTGGCTTAAAAAGGTGTCCGGAATGGTAGGAATTCTTGATTTGAAATGAAAGAAAAAGGTTATGGATTTGCTGCTGTAACTTTCGACCTAAAAAGGTGGTAAAAGTGATGACTTTATGACTATAACTTTTGACTTGAAGAGGTGTTAATGGTAAATGGCTTTACGGTTACAAACTTTCCCTAAAATGGAGAAAAAGTGATGGTTTTATGATGGAAGAGGGTTGGTTTTATGGTGGAAGAGGACTAGTTTGCTTAGCTATGATAGAGGCTAAAATAAAGAAGGATATCGATTAATTTTTTTAGGGGTTGAAAATGAGGTTTTGTAGCTAAAATAGAGGCTGAAAATTGAGGGGCTATTGTTATGGATAGTAAGTTCTTTGGAGGGGAAGGCGAGCACGCGTGAGTAGGCTGGAGCTACGGTGTCTACTACATGTGTAAAGCTTGGTAGTAGCTAAGGGTATTTATTGTGTACGAAAGCTTAGGATGGGTTATCTGCTGCATACATGAGTTTAGGCATCTACTCGCATACATATGGAGTCGAAGCTAAAGGAAGAGTTGTGCATGAGCTTAGGGGCGGTAACTACACACAAGAAGAGCTAGAGCTAGGTGTTTGCTATGCGTTGAAACTTGGTAGTAGCTAAAGGTTATGCGCGTAATAAGGAGGAGCTAGTAGTTGGTGCGGGCATGTACACGAAAGCTAGAGGTGCGGGAGGACTAGAGCCGCACGCATAAAGGTTGGAGGTGTAGGAGGATTTGGAGTTATACACGTGAAGGTTGGAGATATAACCGATGGGTTGGGCACGCACACAAAGTTAGAGGTGCGAGCTGATGGGTACGCATGCAAGGAGGAAAGGTTGTGGCTTGTAAAGGGGAAAAATAGAGTTTGCGAGGTGAAGGGTTTTAGGTGAGGAAGAGGTTCATTAGAGAGAGTTGGTTGAGTGAAGATGGCAAGTAAATAGTGCTTGATTTGAGGTGCGGTTGGCTTTGGGTATGAAGAGGTCCGTTGCAAAGATAAGAAGGTCGAGTGCGACACGAGGGGATGAAGTTGTGGGGCCGTGCTTATGCGTGAGCTTTGGCTTTTGCTATATGCGAGAGGCTTGGGCATGGAACTACTACATGCATAGGCTTAGGCATCCGCTGTGTGTTAGAGGGGTTGGAGTTAGGGATGAGCTAAGCGCGAGCTTAGGCTGAAGTTGTTATGTACGATGGCCTACTCGGTACTAATGCATGCACAAGCTTGGGGTGAAGTTGCCACACGCGATGGGCTATTAGAGCTAGAAAGAAGTTATAGGTGTGGAGTAGTGAGGTGGCTAAAGTAGAAAGGTGGTTGGAAGTGATGCTTGTTTCGAGCTAATAAGGAGATGATGTGGTGTGGATTGTTGAGGTGAGAGGTTTTTGGTTACAAAAGATAGAGGTTGGTCGATTGTAAATAAGGAAAAAGACAAACAATAGAAGGTATATAAAAAATTAAAAGGGAAGGGTTTTATATCTAGGTTTTAGATCTTTTGAAAAAAAATTTATTTTGGTCCTTGATTCTTCACAATCCACAGATTTAAGTTTGATTTAATTATTTATTTCAATGAGACCCTTAAATCTCAATTAAGTAGGGCTTTTCTTTTTTATTTCTTCTAATTATTCCCCTCTTTATTTTAATTGAAGGATAGAATTTTTAATGTTTTGATTGTACCCTCAATTGATCTGTTTTTATTTATTTCCACACATTTTTTTTTAACTAGCCCCCTCTTAGAACTAACCTAAGCTAATTAATCCAATTGATTTTTTTCTTTTTTTCTTTTCCTTTTTTCCTTTTATACTTGGCACTTTTGTTTTGTTTATCATTATTTTTTTTTTGGTATTTTTACAACAAAAAAAAAAGAGTGAAAATTTGGTGTTAACAATTTTTCTCTCTTTATAATGCTTATGACGTATAGTCATTGAAAAATATTTTTCCTTGTCTTTGCATAGTAAGCTTATAAAGAAACAAAAGAGAATTTTGGAAGGACATGACTCACTCGTATCAATTTTTTTAGAAAGATATAACTGACCATGTTGATTTTTTTAGAAAGGATATGATTGACTATGTCAATTTAGAGAGACGTGATCGACTACGTCGATTTTTTTATATTTTTTGGAAAGACATGATCGACCATGTCAATTTTTTAGAAGGACACGACTAACCATGTTGATTTTTAGAAGGACATGACTAATCATATCGATTTAGAAGGATGTGACCGACCACGTCTATTGGAAGGGACATGATTGAGCATGTTGATTCGAGGGGGACATGAATGACCATGTTGATTTTTGGAAGGACATGAATGATTATGTTGATTTAGAGGGATGTGATTGACCACATTGATATTTTTTATGGAAAGACATGACTAACCATGTCAAGTTTTGGAAAGACATGATTGACCATTTTGATTTAAAGGGACGTGATCGACCACATTATTATTATTATTATTATTTGAGTTTTTAAAGGACATGATTGACCATGTCAATTTAAAAAGATATGATTTACCATGTTGACTTAGCCAAACATGATTAACCATGTCAATTTAAAAGGAGCATGACTGATCATATTTATTCAAAAAGATATGACTAACCATGTCGACTTAGTGGGATATGATTGACTATGTCAAATTAAAAAGAATATGACTAATCACGTTGATCCGAAAGGACATGACTAACCGGATCGATTTGGTAAGACATGACTAACCATCTCAATTTAAAAGACACATGACCGACCATGTTGATTCGATAGGACATGATTGACCATGTTAATTTGACATGACATGACTAACCATGTCAAATTAAAAATCATGTGATCGACCACATCAATTCTGCAGGACATGATTGACCATGTCAAGTTAAAAGAAATGTACTTGACCATATTGATTTGAAAGGATATGACTGACCATATTAATTATATCGAGACATGACTAACCATGTCAATTTAAAAGAAACGTGATTGATCATGTTGATTTGAAGGAGCGCGATTGACTATGTTGACTTTTTGATACTTGATTAACCATGTCAATTTAAAAGAAATGTGATCGACCATGTTAATTTGAAGGAGTATGACTAACCATACTGATATGAAGGGACATGACTCATCATGTCAATTTAAAAGTAACATGACTAACCATGTTGATTTGAAAAGGTGTGATTGACCTCGCAACTTTAATGGATATGATTGGCCATGTAAAGTTAAAAGAAATATGATTGACCATGTTGATTTGAAAGGAATGCAATCGACCATGCTCGACTTGGAGGGACATGATCGACCATGTCAATTTGTTTTTAAAAAAACATGATCGACCATGTTGATTTGACGCAACCAACCACGTCGATATGAAGAGACATGACTAACCATGTTAATTTAAAAGGAATAGGACTAACCATGTTTGCTTGAAATTTGAAAAGATATGATCGATCACATCAAATTAAAAAGACATAAATAGCCACGTTGATTTAAAATGTAAAAAGACGTGATCTGGTCACATCAAATTGAAAGGACATAACTAGAAACATCAAATTGAAATTTGAAAACACATGACTGGCCATGTCAAATTAAAAAAATACGACTAGTTGCACCGATTTTAAATTTGAAAAGACGTGATTGGCCATGTAAAATTAAAGGATACGACCGACGGTGCTAATTTTGGCAAGACATAACCGGCCATGTCGATTTTGACAGGACGTGATTGGCCTTATTGATTTATCGGGATGCAATTAGCCATGCCAATTTAAAAAGATACGACCGGTCGTGCTGATTTTAAAAAGGATGTGATTGGTCATATGATTTTTTGATAGGACATGATTGGCCACATCGATTTGAAAGGTCACGATTGGCTATGTTTATTTAGAGGTATGTGACTAGCCACGTCGATTTTAAGCGACGTGACTAGCCACATCTATTTTGAGAGGCATGATTGGTTACTTTTTTGACAAGGTATGATTGACTATTCTAAATTAGATTGACGTGGAGTTTTTAGAGAAGCATAGGTCATCACTACCAAGACATAGTTTTTCCTTATTTTTCTCTTTATATTTGTGTCGTCTTGCATGAATTGGTTCCAATTTCTAAGTCAACTACTCTCGTTGAGCTTGTCTATTTGTATTTTTTATTATGCCCTTTATTTTTGTAGTCATTGGGATAGCTATTTGAGTCATTATCTATGTCATTTAAGTGGCACCCACTCCTCTTACTAAATGAGAGATTATTGTTCTTTTGTACCCCTTTTTCAATATTGCCCCCAATTGTTTAGATTTCTACTAACACATATCAAGAATTTAGCCTTAAAAATGATTAAGGTGGCCTTTTTTCAACTCGTTTATAATTTATCTTGAGGAAGCTTATAACAGATTTTATGGAGGTCGACTTTTTGTAGACCAAGTCCAAGTAAAATCCTTGTCAAGTTATAATATGTCATTTCAATGTATTATCACATTTTGTGAATGACATCAATCATAAGGTTGTGCATGATGCTAGAGAAAAATGTTTTTCTTTTTAAGAACTAATCATACTTATGAAAATAAGTTCTTTGAGAGATGAAAGGTCATGAATCAAGAATAAAAGCGAGTAAAGTCAAATGATTGCGCTAATGATTTATCCATAACTCGAATTTTCTCCTTACCGTTCCGGATAGGAGAAAACTTAAAATGTTTGATCTTCTAGTGCTGACACTAATTTACGACTAGTCTCAACATAGCATGTTTCTAAAATATTGGTAGTGATCATTCATTCGTAATCTACCTTTTGTTGTTGTTACTTATGTCATTCATCTTCTTTTGGTGTTTTTGCTTGATTATGTGAACTTGTCTTTGAGTTTTTTTTTTTTGAATTTTTTAAAAATCATTCTCATTTGTTATGACTTTCATGGATTAGGCTATCTATTTAAAAATTTTGCATTAAGGCAAGTTGAATTATTCAAGAGAAATCATTGAGATGTTCATAAAAAAGTAATCTCATTTAGAAAGATCTTCAACTTATTTGATTAAAATCCAAAATGCATCGTGCAATGTCGAGATGTAATTCTCATGGTGATCCGTTTTATGATTAAGATGAGCAAAATGTGTTTGGATGAAAAAAGTTTTGAAAAGGATTGGTCTTTTCTCATAGGTGATTGAAAAAATTTTAGTTTCAAAATGTGGCATGCTTGAATGAATTCTAAGAGCTACAAGAGTTTTTTAAGAAAGTTTAGCTCAAATGAACGAGTCTTGCCTAGAAAGACTCAATTCATTTCTTTCTTACCCTAAGTTACTTGATAAAAATTCATGATTCAATATCATAAATGATGGTTTATAATTTATAAAAAAGTTAATTTTTATTCAAAAATATTTTTTTCTTGTCGTTTGAAGCGAGAACTCATCAACACAAACAAATGATCTTTAATTATAAAGGGCTTTTATAGGCATGTAAAGCAAGATATGGCTTTAGCTTATGAATAAAATGATATAAAAGGCTTAAAAGGTGTTTGAGGGTGTAAAGACCTAAGATCACTTAATTGTTCATCGAGACATTTTAGGCATGCCACCTTGACTTTCTCATCTCATTAATTGATCTCATTTTCTAATCTCGGGTCTTGATTTTCATTTTCCCTTTTGGGATTTCTAACTTTTTCTAACTTCAAATCAATAAAGGATCACTATAGATAGCACCTTTTTTTTTATCTTAGTGCTTTGACTTTTGTTTTTTATTTTTTGCTTCCAAAGTCATTCAAGGTTTTTCTTGACAAGTTTTTGTTTTGTTAACAATTATCATCATTTCTCATCTTTTTTTTCTAGTTGAACATCCTTGATTACTAATAAAATTCAACATATAAGGGGTGATCCTAGGCTAGGTCATTATAAAAAAACAAAATTTAGGCTCAAAGTTGGATAGCAAATGGTAAGTTTTTTGTTTACCAAAAAGTATACCAAAAATGAGATTTATTCATCTCAAATTTGATCTAATTCAAGTCGATAAGTTCTAGTTTCATTTGAAAATTATGATTGACATGTAAAGAAGAAGGAGAAAGTAGGATCATGACTCAAATGTGTACAACTTATCATCATCTAAGACATTAAATATTTTTTTATTTTTTATTTTTACAACGATGTATTACCTAAGATAATACTATCTTGAAAGGATTTATGAGGAATAAAAGTTAAATATTTTTGGTTTCAAATAAAGAAAGGAACTGCCCCTAGCATTTGAACAATATGTTTTGAAAGTTAATCAATCTTGAAAGATTTGAATGAGTTTTTCATTTTATTCGATTTGATTCGAATCGATAATAAAATCATGCCAAGATAATAGGAATTCCTTTTGCAAAAAAATGACCCAATCCATGAAATTACAACACTTTTATGAATGAAAGTTAAAATTTTGATATGAGGTAAGATTTGATTCAATAAATCAAGACATATTCATGTTTTTTTTATGAGCTTTAGGTATTCTCCTCACATTCATTCTTATGCATATTTAATCGAGTTATGCCGACATCTTTTTTTTAATACAATCAATTAATGTTTTTGTTTTTGAGGTATGATCAAATTGGATGTCTCGAAAGGAAGGTAAAAATAAGGATAAAGCACAATAAAAAAGATGAAGGCAAATGTGGTAGTTTGAGGAGAAAATTTATGTGATCTCATAAATTAACATTATATGAAAGCATGATAGATAAATACGATAAGAAAATTACTTGACCTTGAAAAAAAAAGGTGCTTTTTCATCGGACCAGCTTATTCAATTCCTTCCCCTAAATAGTCTCATAGATAAGATGATTGACATAAAAAACATCCTTAAGTGTGTCGATGAAAAACATCATTATTTCTAAACTATCAACACTAACCTGAGTCGTATGACTTCGTTCTTACAATTGGCTTTATTTGCCCTAAAATTTCACTACCATAGTATAAGATGGTTAGCTCAAACGCAGGTCTTTGCTCTTGATGAAATTTTTGGCAATCATCAATATCGTGTCCACTCTTTTATGGAACTTGCGAAGGACTCAACATGAATAAAAGCTTGAGACTTGGATAGTTTCTTATTAAAGCCGAGAGTAGATAACATGTCAAACAAATAGGATATGAAAATTTCAGAATCGACTTTCTATTGTCACACCCAATGCATCCAATGATGACATATTCACTTCATTGAAAACAACATGGTTGAAAAGGTGACTCGTTGTTCACATTTAGAGTATAAGATTCATTAGGATTATATCAATTAGGAAATAGAGTTGTCATAGAGTTGTTGTCATAGGAGTTACTTGGTCGGTAGAAGAGATAACAATATTTCCTTATATATTTTTTATGACCTATATTTCCTTGGTTGTCTTAATTGAATTGTCTCTCGCTAATTGGTTGAGCTATGAATGATGTTATGCTTGAAAATTTTGAGAAAAAGTTTATGATAGATGAGAATTATTCAAATACTATTTAGATTGAAAGTCGATTCTCTAATCGATGAACATTGGTGTGGAACGAAGTGAATTAGATGTTTTTCATCATAAATTTTGATCATCTTATTTGGGTAAATCATAAAATGAGTTTTTGGATATTAACTCCTAGTGTATTTGGGGAATTTTGACTCTTGAAATTTTTTAGGCATCATGATATTCAAAATCAAGCATATGTCTATTGTTAAAAGAAAGTCATATATGTCCATGCCTTTAATGGCTATGAGCCGTTCCTCAATGGCACTAAGCTTCTCAATTTTAGTCAATGAGCTCATTTTTTCTTACAACTTTTTTGTCTACAGCCAAATTAATCATAAGAGTTGCTTGATTTTGTAAAGTATGTAGCTATCATAGAATCGAGCTATAGACTTCGGGATGAGCTTAATCGGGCATGCCTCCAAGTGTAGTGTGATTGGTTAGATTTAAAATGTTGACATCCTCCTAACAAAAAATAGAGAAAGGTGGCCACTTAAATAGTAGGTATCGGTATGGCGGTGAACTCCTAGGGGATAGCAAAGGACTCGACCCATTTCCCGATTAGAAGGCACTTCGATAGATATGCGAGTTTGAAGACTTTACTTAAGTAAAACAGCAAGCCTAGATACTTCTATTTTCAAAACACTTAACTCCTTTTGATTGCTTTACTCAAGTTGAGCCCTTTCTTCTTTGTCTATTTTTCCTTTCACTTAAGTTGTCAACTTTTGAGGGGGAAATATAGTCTTGACATGATGACTTATGCTTTTTTTCCTTTCGTTTAAGTTGTCGGCTTTTGAGAGGGAAATATAATCTTGACATGATGACTTATGCTTCTCCACTTGGACAAAAAAATAACAAAACATAACAAAATAAATAACATATTGACATAAAATAAAGATATTTAAGACTAGATATGGAGTAGCCTTCACATGGGAGTGATAAAAAGATTTAGTCATTGATTCTTTAATCCTTTTATACCGACTCAAGTTGGTATAAAGATGAACTTAAATTTCATGAGTAACCTTTGAAGACTCCGACACGATGGATTGTCCTATTGTTCCATTAGAAACCTTTGGCAAATTTTGATTGAGCCATGAAATTTCTTTGATATTCAAACCTTGTATAAATTTAAATTTTAATCCTCTTATCACCTATCTAAAAATAATTATGACCAATTGTTCGATCAAGGTTTTAATATATCCGACTTGCCTATTGATTTTATACAGGAAAGATGATCTTAAGGTCCGGTTCTAGTCGTGAGTAGGTAGGATCTATTTAAGTCTTAATATAGTCCTTTTTGGCTTAGGAGAATCAAGGTTGACCAAGTGCGAAGGTGATAATCATGAGGACCTTTAATTACCTATCGCGATAGTGGTAGCTTTCCAAAGAGTTAAGGTTTTGTAAGTGTTAATCGGGGCGAAACCCATCGAACACTAGTAACTCCTCCTTAAATCCAAAAGCAAGTATGAAAATGATAGTTAAAATTATGCGAGTTTCAAAATATGAAATACAAGCTAAAAATTAAACAACCGAAGCTACATGGAAGAACAACATAAAAAGTGCACACACACATAGGTCTTGTCAAAGTGACCAAAAGTCTCTTCGAAGTTGACACAAAAGGCCAAGGTCATTGTTCGTTGTCAAAGTTATTGTAAATTTGTAAAGTTTGTTTTTTATATAAATATGCAAAGTCTCCCGAAACTTAAGGGACTTAGTAACAAAGTTACTCTTGTGTTTTTTCTATCAAAAATCAACATAAATATAGTTTATAACACATCATATTGTTCCCGCAAAACTCAATCAATCAAAACAACAGATCTTTACACGTGTTCTATCATTTAATATTTATTGTCAAACCCATAATACCTTGTATTTTATTTTATTTATTTTATTTTTTTTATTTTTTTTTTTTTTGCGTGAGTGGTGGTTGGAAATTGCAATAACTTTTGGCTTAACACGATGTTTGGAATGGCATTAACTCTTAATTCAAAATGGAGGAAAAAAGGTTATGCCTTTCTAGTGTAGCTTACGACCAAAAAATGTGGTAAAGGTGATGGCTTTATGGCTATAACTTTTGACCTAAAATGGAAGAAACGTGGTGGTGTTGTAATGGAAGATGGATGGTTCATTCATTTACGATGGAGGTTGAAATAAAGGGGAGTGTCCGTTGGTTTTTGGAGGGGTTGAAAATGAGGGTTTTGATCGGCTTTGCTGGCTAAAATAGAGGTTGAAAATGGAGGGGTCGTTACTATGGACGGTAGAGTCGCTAAAGGGGACAATGAGCACACACAAGGAGCTAGAGCTTAGGTGTTTACTATGTAAGTGAAGGTTGGGAATAGATTAGGGTGTCTACTCGCTCATAAAAGCTTAGGTCGAGGCACATGAGTTTAGGTATTTATTGTGCACGTAAAGGGTGAAGTTAGATGAGGAGTCGTGTGTGAGCTTAGGGGTAGCAACTATGTATGAGAAGGGCTAGAGTTGGGTGTCTAATATGCGTAGAAGCTTAGCAACAACAAAAGGTCAAGCATGCGAGAAGGAGGAGCTAGTAGTTAGGCTAGGCGAGTAAGTGAAAGGTGGAGGTGCATGAGGATTAAAGCTACAAGTGTGAAGGTTGGAGGTGTATGAGGACTAGAGCTTCGTGCATGAAGGCTAAAGGTATGGTAGTCGAGCTGGGCGTGCGTGCAAAGAGGAAAGGTCAGTAGCTTGTAAAAGGGAAAATTTAAGTTTGTGGGGTGAAGGTTTTTGGATGAGGAAGAGTTGTAGTAGAAAAAGGCGACCGGGTGAAGATGGTGAGTGAATAGCGCTTGATGTGAGGCGCAGTGGCTTTGGGGTGTTTACTATGCGAAGAGGCCTATTGCATAGAGAAAAAGCTAGGCTTGTGTGCGAGGGGTGAAGTTGTAGGGTTATGCTATGCGTGAGCTTAAGCGTCCGCTACGTGGTGAGGCTTGGGTTGGAAATGCTATGCATGGGCTTAGGTGTCCGTCGCATGCGAGAGTGGTTGGAGTTGGGGAGGAGTTGAGCCCGACTGGGTCCGAGTTACCGCGAGTGGTGGCCTACTAGAGCGGGTGCACATGCAAACTTAGGATGAAGTTAGTACATGTGGTGGTTTGCTAAAGCTAAAGGGAAGTTGCGAGTGTGGAGTGGTGTGGTGACTAGAGTAGAGAGGCGGTAGGAGGTGATGTTGTTTCGAGCTAGGGAGGAGACGGCGTGGTGTGGCTTGGTAAAGTAGGAGGTTTTTATATGGTTTTTGGTTGTAAAAGATAGAGGTTGGTCGGGTGCAAAAAATTAAAGAATAAAAAATAAAAAGAAGAAAGATGATTAGTAGAAGGTGTATAAAAATTGCAAGGGAGGGGTTTTTATATATAGGTTTTAAGTTTTTTTGGCAAAAGTTTGTTTTGATCCATGATTCTCCATAATCCATCGATTTAAGTCCGATTTAATTGTTTGTTTTGATGAGGCCCTTAAATCTCAATTAATTAGGAGTTTTCATTTTTATTTCTTTCAATTGTATCCCTCTTTATTTTAATTAAAAGATAGAAGTTTTGATTTTTTTTAATTGTACCTGCAATTGTTTTTTTTTAATTACTTCCAAACTTTGTTTTTTAATTAGCCCCGTCCTATAACTAACCTAAGTTAATTATTCCAATTGAATTTTTTTTCTCTTTCTCTTTTTCTTTTTCTTTTTCTTTTTCTTTTTTTCTTTTATACTTGTCTCTTTTGTTTTGTTTATCTTCATTTTTAGGTATTTTTACAGTAAAAATAAAAATAAAAACAATAAGAGCCAAAATTGGGTGTTAATAATGTTTAATACATCAACATTTTAGATTTTTAATATATGATTGCCAATCAATACATATGGTTTAATTTAAATAAATTACAGAATGTTGGATAATTTTGAAATAGTGAAGATATTCCCCGAATCTCTGCCATGATATATATATATATATAAACCACTTTTATCTCTTGGGGTTGACTTAGGATTTGGTAAATGGATGACGGTAGATAAAAAAAAATGCAAAGGACCTAAATCTCGACAAACCGATTTTGTGGGCAGGAAGAAGAGAAGAGGAAAAAAAAAAAAAAAAAAAACTCATGCAAATTCAAATCGATTTGCTTCACTTATTACACCGGAGTTTGAGGAGGAAAATGTAGAAGTGAATAATAATATGACTAGACCATCTCTCTCTACGCCTGGTGATTTTATTTTAATTTGGGTCAGGCCTTGGTCGTGGGTCAGATATTTCTTCTAGGGCCAAGTCTAAAGAAGTTAATGTGGTGGATAATAATATGGAATCAGGCTTGGCCGAGTCAGTGGAGATGGTTAATTTTGCTTCATCAAGTGGCCCAAATGTACAACAGAGGTGCAAAATGGAATTAAAAAACAGAGCATGCCAACCTAGCTGGAACTCACGTTATGATCTCCATTTCTTCTCCTCATGTTAATTCTTCTGTTGCTTTTGTAGCTGAGTAGTTAAGAACTGCCTTTGCAGCTAAAATGCTCCCGGGTCGTAGTCTCATAATACTCCATCCACGTCCTCACTTAATCCACTTCCTGACTAACAGCTTCTTCAATATAGATGGAACTCCCCTGATTCGGTTAATCTTGGAGTTTACATTGATGAAGTAACATCCATGGATAGTGACTTGACTGGAACTAATGGTGTTTACAAGAGAGATGACGTGGTTACTACCACTCATGTTGATGCCAAGTTTTTCTTGGAGTTCTTTCATTCCCAGTTTTTATTACATTTTTATGTTTAATATATATAATAGCTTGGAAATTTATAAGTTATTATCTACATATATTGCATATTAGCTGCAACCTAACAAATTTCAAATGAATTGAAACTTGTAAAAGTGCTCATTGTTGTGTTTTTTCTCTATGACTGTAGCGGGTATTTATAGGTTTTTTGTTCATTATGATCTCGTGTAGTAGACCACCTGCTTCTGCATTTCATCACGTATTCCATACTACTCTATGTTATTCTTTTCTTGTATTGCAATGCACCACATCTCTAGTTCTATTATTTTATCCTTATGTTGCAAGCTCATACGTTCATTTTAATTGTTTGAACTGTGCTTTTGTTGATGTTAGAATTGTGTTATTCCCACTACCTTTTTACTAACTTTTGCTGGATTAGAGCACACATGTTCTAATTAGATGTTTATTATTATTATTATGTAACTTTTGTTATTGGGTATTTGTGAAAAACTCCAAATCTTGAGAAATTATTTCCTATAAACTTTAAAATCATTAATGTTGAACAAATAAGATTTTGAATTTAATAAAAAGAAATACATCATGTCTTCTTGTTATTGCTTTGAAAAGCTATAGAAATGTATTCATGATAAAGAAAAGTTTTTTTTTTTTTGGGAACTATATATTTAGATGAAAACATAAAAAAAGAAAGAATATAAATATTAAGTATAATATATTCCTTTTCTTGTTTAATATTTTCTTTATTTTACCTTTCACTTAGGTTAATAATTAAGAAAAATAATAACATGAATACATAATAAAGATTAAGGACATCATCCTATTATAGTAAATAAAATTAAAACAACTCTATTTTGAAAATAAATATTTTAAAACTACTTTATTAAAAAAAAAATGTACTGTAGAAGTCAATTTCTTGTTGACATAAATAACCTGGCAGGCCTAGGTGAAGAGCCTCATGAAAATTCATTGATTGAATTAACTCACACATCCAATTGGCGACCTAAATTCTGTTGCATTCATTTAATGCACCGAATTCGGATAAGGCAGTTACATATCACCCCAATAAGAAATTGACGGAGAATTAGACGGGCCGTTCTCAGTATCCAAAGTAAATACGTACAGGCATAGTGTTGTTTTCTAAAGTGACAAAAATCAGACAAGAACATTGTAGTGCACTTCATTTGTTTGTTGGTTTGCTCGGTCTTTGGTGGTGGTCTTGTTGTTTTGTAATTAGGCATTGTAACAGAGGCATCTCTATATGGATATTGGTTTGATGATAAAAATTATCTGGTTATATTATAGTTTAATAATTTCAGGTTTTTTTTTATTAATTTGTATAATTTGAATTTTAAAATATCGATTTTTAGATAAATGTTATCCAAATTCTCTTTTCTTTGTTATTTGTAATGATTAATCTAATTAATGATTAAATGATGACGTTTAAATATTTTGCTATTAATTTTTTTTTTTTTACTAATGTTTTTCCTCAAGTTTTCAAGAGAGATTTTTTTCATCCCTTTACATATAAATAATAATATTAAAATTCATTAAATTTATCACTAAAATTTCTTTTGGCTCTCCTTGAAAAAAGACTTTCACTTTTTGGATTTATCTTTAAAAAAATAAAAAAAATTATATATAAAAAATGATTTTCTAACTCTAATAATTTTAAATTCATATTAAAAATTATTTGTAACAGCTAACTTAGTTAACAATTAAATAGAATGCTTAAATGACGTTATTTAAATATTTTTCTATTAATTTTTTTTGTTGTTAATTTAAAAAAAAAGTTAAAAATTACTTAGATAAAGACATATTTCAGATTCTTTAGATCACTTGATTTTTTTTACTAATGTTCTTCCTCAATTTTTCAAGAGAGATTTTTTTTTCCACCCCTTTACATATAAATAATAATACAAAAATTTATTAAATTTATCACTAAAATTTCTTTTGGTTCTTCTTGAAAAAGGACTTTCACTTTTTGAATCTATCTTTAAAAAAATAAAAATAAAATAAAATTATAAAAAATAATTTTCTAACTCTAATAATTTTAAATGCGTATTATATATTTGAATCAATTGTGCCAATGCAAGATTCTATAAAACATGTGAAGATAAAAAAATATTAAATAAATACAGTTATATTTAGAATTTAATGATAGATAATGATAAGAATAAATTTATTCGCATGGCAAAAAAAAATTCAGTTAAAATTAATTATTTGATAATTTCAATTGATTAAATTCAACCAATAAATATTTGTATTTTATTAATTATAGAAGTGGAATATTGTTTTAATGGATAATGATACTACATAAAAGTATTTTTTTTAATTGAGAAAAAAATTATATACAAATAATGATTTGATCAAATATGAAAAATCAAATGGATTAATCTGTAAAAATTTTAATTAGAAATAATTAAGTTATAATTACATTGAAAAAATAATAACAAGTTTTTTTTAACTTTTTTTAAATTAGCAATAAAATACTTAAATGAAATTTTTTAAGTATTTTGTTTAACCGTCAATTAAGTTGACCATTATAAATAATTAAAAAAAATAAGATTTTTATAATATTTAATGAAATTGATATTTTGAAATTTAAATTACTTAAATTGATAACGAAAATTTAAAATTACGAAGTAGCAATAAAATGGAGACAATTGTTGCTGTAAAATCGATCGAAACTAGAGAGGGCGTGGGGGGCTAGTAGAATGATATATTGATTTCGCTATGAATTAGCTTTGCCAAGAGCTATATTGATGAACGCAAATTGTCGACTAGAGACACTTGTTATTAATTACGGGTCCAACCTAGCAAGAATCCATCATCTATAGCTTGACTAGGTACTGAAAATAAAAATAAAAGAAAAAGAACAAGAAAAAGTAGGGGTATTTAATTGATTTACATGCAGCAGCAGTATTCTTACCGGGATGAGAAAAGCGCACAAATTGAAATAAAAATATTTCGAAACAAATGAATATAGTTTTTCTTCAAGATACTATACAATTAAATAAGATTTGGGACGTCATTATGGGAGGGGATATTTAGAAAATTGGCCAAATGGGATACAATCAATGCTATCACTACTTTCATTTTCATCCACAAAAGTACTTTTCTCCCTTAATTGTTATCTCAATTAATAATAATTTGACAACTTATAGTAAAAAAAAATGACAAAAGATCATCAATTTCATATCCCTATATTAAGCCCATCCCCTAAGACAACAGCATCCATAAAACCTAATTTTCAGAGCCCTTTCAAACATATTCTACTACCCTATGGCTAATCAACAACATGACCAGTCAAACCATGGCATAACCAAACAAGCACAAGTTGTTGTGGTCATGGTTCCACTCCCAGCACAAGGCCATCTCAACCAGCTCCTCCAACTTTCTAGGCTCGTCCTATCCTACAACATCCCGGTCCACTATGTTGGTGCCATCACCCACAATCGTCAGGCCAAGCACCGCGTGCACGGTTGGGACCCAGAAGCCGCCGCGAATATCCATTTCCATGACATTGAAATCCCTCCTTTTCATTGCCCTTCTCCCAACCCAAATGCCAAAATTAAGTTTCCCTCTCAACTGCAACCTGCTTTTAATGCCTCATCTCATCTTACAGAGCCTGTTTCTACGCTTTTACGTGTACTTTCTTGCAAAGCAAGAAAGGTTATTGTAATTCATGACTCTCTAATGGGGTCCGTGATTAAAGAAGCTCATTCCCTCCGTAATACAGAGTCTTACACTTTCCATAGTGTATCTGGTTTTGCTGTTTCCTTGTATATATGGGAACAAAAAGGGAAGACTATGGAGGAAAATGAGTTGTTTCCACGGGATGTTCCTTCTCTTGAAGGGTGTTTTACCGATGAGTTCGCGGATTTCATTGCTTATCAATATAGTAATTTCCAAAAGTTTAGCACTGGCTATGTTTACAACACTTGCAAATTGGTAGAAGGTGCTTATATAGATTTGCTTGAGAAAGAAACGATTAAGGAAGGGATTAAGCATTGGGCTTTAGGGCCTTTCAATCCAGTGACAATACCTGAGAGATCAAAAGGCTCAAAAAAGAAGCATTTTTGCTTGGAGTGGCTAGATAAACAAGCAATAAACTCAGTGATTTACGTGTCGTTTGGGACGACGACAACCTTGGATGATGAACAAATTAAGGAGCTGGCAATTGGGTTGAGAGAAAGCAAGCAAAAGTTCATTTGGGTGTTAAGAGATGCTGATAAAGCAGATGTTTTCAATGGAGAAGAGAGAAGAGCAGAACTCCCAAAAGGGTATGAGGATTCAGTTGATGGGATTGGACTAGTGATGAGAGACTGGGCACCCCAACTAGAGATTTTAGCCCACCCGGCAACGGGAGGGTTTATGAGTCATTGTGGATGGAATTCTTGCATGGAAAGTATTAGCATGGGAGTGCCAATTGCAGCTTGGCCTATGCACTCAGATCAACCAAGAAACACAGTTCTAATAACAAAAATACTCAAGATTGGAGTTTTAGTTAAGGAATGGGTGTTGGGAGATGAGATTGTAACATCAAAGATTGTTGAAAGTGCTGTGAATAGGCTAATGGCATCAACAGAAGGTGATGAGATGAGGAAGAGGGCAGCAGAAATGGGGGAATCCGTGGGACGATCCGTTGCCGAAGGTGGAGTTTCTCGGATGGAGATGGAATCCTTTATTGCTCATATCACTAGGTAATTAATTAACGTACTAAGCTGGTTTCATTTGTCATCACCATGTGTAACAAATTTTCACGGCTATCAATCTGAATTGAAATAGAAAGGTTGGCAAGTACAGGAAATGTAATCTTTGTACTCATTGTATTGTCATGAAAGCATAATGTCTACTGTTTTTTGCTTGAAAAAAAGGAAGTCTACCGTTTCTTACTTCTCTTTTTTATACAAATAAAAATTCGAATACGAAATCTTTTGACAGAAAAGTGACATCAATGCCCATTGAGTTACATCTCATGGGCTAATGTTTTCTACTTGAATAGTCTTAGAGAACATGTTACATGTTAAATAGGTATTCAAAATATAAATAATATATAAAATTAAGAAGAATTCACTCATGAAAAGAGTTTAAATTTTTTTAATAGAATTCAATCCCAACAATCTAATTTTATATGACATTAAAGTTTTAAGTGATGGAGATTGAAATGATAAAAAATATATCTTATAGTTAATAGATAATCAAATTATGAATAATATATAAAATTGAGAAGAAACAAATATAGTAAAAGACGTTAAGTATTTTGAATGAAATTGAATATAGAAACATGGTTTTATGAACCTCTTTATCCTTTTTTCCTTTTCTTTTTTTTTTTTTTATGTCTCGTCACATTTATATGGAGGCCAAAACTTACCTTTCAACTAAACCTAAACAAAAGAAATTGCTTAAATGGTAAACTAGATGTTCCATATTTTAGCAAGTTCTTTTAACCATAGACTGGATTACCCCAGTTTGGCCGGATTATCATGAAATTTGGTTCTTGGCGTACAAATGACCACATTGCTGTAAGTCTGGTAAAGCAAAGTACTATATATTTGTCCTCGGCTCCTAATTGCAACATAGACAAACATTTGTCCTCTAGATCACATGAGCATTATAGTTGTGGGGTGGGGTAGGTGGGTGGGCGTGTGTGTGTGTGTGTTGCGCATACTAATTTGGAATAAAAAAAGAAAAAGAAAGTCGACTGGCGCATTGGACTCTAATTATGGAGTTATAACTTGTTTTCTCTCGCCGGAAAGAATCTCAAATTCCAACCTTTCCCTTGTTAAAAAAAAAAAAAAAAAATCTAGTCTGCAACAATTAAGCGCTTAAATAATATAGTATTTAATAATGAATTTTATTCGACAAAACATAATTATTGGGGAGAGTATATACATCATCTAACATCTAACTCGACCCCCTATTAATTAATTATAAATAATTGTCTCTGATTTGCCTTTTCCAGTTCAATCGTCAATGTGAGATTTCGTCTTAAAATTTGATACTTCTACTAATCTAGTGTTAAAAATATTTTAAAAAATAACAGTGCCCTTCAATTAGCCATTGCTTTTTTGGAAGTTAGTTGACATTGCGGCTATCCTTGCGACAAAAAAACAAAAAAAACAAAAAACAAAAAACCCCAATATATCACTACTAACAGCTCACGTATGCCGAAAGAAGGAAATGAACAAATCTGCTCTTGAATAAGATTTTGAGCTCCACTTTTACAAAATATGTTTTGCGTATAGCACAAGAAAACTTAAAAATAACGTCAGACTACAATTCGTTACTAAATAACAACCCAATAGCATGTATTTTATTTAACAATGAAATAAAAATGATTTGACGATGGTATATCAAAGATGTATGATATTTTATTACTAGTTGTAATGCTAAAATCTTTCCGGTTGATTTAGAGACGGGTTAGCAATGGAATCACTATAGCAATCAACGACGGGTTACAATTCCGTGACTCTTTTTAATGTTTTTCTTTAGCAATCGAATATACGTTACTAAAGTACTAAATCTAAAAAACAGCATTTTGAAATAAAAAAAGATGCTCATTTGACAATGTAATGGCGACGGAGACATAATTTTCATCGTCAAATAACAACTAATCAAAGACGAGAACATTTCCGTTCTCGGTTGTAAAAAAATAGGCGACCTTACGGAAATAAATAGTTGCTCATTTTACAAAGGATTAGCGACGAATACTTATGTCGTTGCTAAATAGAAATAGACTAATGACGGGATCGTATTTATCGCCGATCCGAATTCCTAATTAAACTCCCTTTTTCATTCTTCTTCCCCCAATTTCTTCTATTCCAACTTATCCTCTCTAGTTGCCAACTAATGCCCTACCCAAAACCATCAAAAAGCTGCACTCCTCCACTCCTTATCAATCCACGCCCTCTCCAAAGCCTTTTTTCCATGAAAACCCTCGTTTTTTTTTTTTCCTTCCTCTCCTTCTCTTTAAGTTCGAATTAGGTAAATTCTCTTTCTCTCTCTTATTCCTTAAAAGTTATTATTTTCACAATTATTTGGTTAATTTTCAATTCAATTGGTTGATTTATAATTATGTATAGTTTTAATTATTAAACTATTGATTAATTTGTTAATTTGTTATTTCTTGTTAAATGTTAGTTTAATTTAGGTTTAATTAATTAGGTTAATTTTAATTAATTGGTTAATTTGATTTAGGTTTAATTAATTAATTAGGTTAAATCTGATTAATTACTAATTTATTGAGTAATTTGTTAAATTATATATTTTTTTTGGTTAATTTTTAGGTCAATTTGTTAATTAATTGTTAGTTTGATTTATGTTTAATTAATTAATCAGATTAATTTTTATTAATTTGTTAATTTGCTTTAGGTTTAATTAATTAATTATTAATTATTTTATTAATTATTTTTTGTTAATTGTTAGGCTAATTTGTTAATTTTGATTAGTTTTGCAAAGTTTTAATTGTTAATTTGTAGATTAATTTGTTAATTTCTTATTTTTTGTTAGTTGTTAGGTTAGTTTTTTTATTAATTTTTAATTTTATTTAGGTTTAATTAATTAATTAAGGTAACTTTGAGTAATCGGTTAATTTTTTTATTTAAGTAGAAAATTATTAATTAATTGTTAGTTAAATTTAATTGGGTTTGAATTAAGGTTAATTTTATTTAGGTTTAAATTTAATTAGGTTTGAATTAGAATTAATTATTTGAATTTGATTTTATTTGAATTAATTAATTTGGTTAAATTTGATTAATTGGTTGATTTTTAATTTTATTTATATTGAAAATTGTTAATTAATAGTTAGTTAAATTTAATTAGGTTCAAATTGTGGTTAATTTGATTTACGTTTAAATTTAATTAGGTTTGAATTAGAAATAATTAGGTTAATTTGATTTAGGTTTAATTAGATTAGATTAGATTAAATTTGATTAATTGGTTGATTCTTAATTTTATTTATATTTAAATTTGTTATTTAATTGTTAGTTAAATTTAATTAGTTCTGAATTAGGGCTAATTTGATTTAGGTTTAAAATTAATTAGGTTTGAATTAGAATTAATTAGGTTAATTTGATTTAGGCTTAATTAATTAGTTAGTTTAAATTTGGTTAATTGTTTGATTTTTTATTTTATTTATATTGGAAATTCTTAATTGATTTTTAGTTAAATTTAATTAGGTTTGAATTAGGGTTAATTTGATTTAGATGGAAAATTTATTAGTTTAATTTGATTTAAGCTTATTTAATTAATTAGGTTAATTTTGTCTAATTAGTTAATTTTTAATTATTTTTGTATTGAAAATTTTTATTTAAATTTAATTAGGATTGAATTCGAGTCAACTTGATTTTGGTGCATATAATTATTGAAGTTTGCTAAGATACACCATAGCGTATCGAACTCGGAAGGGTCGGAGACTTTCAAGAATTAATGAGAAATAACTTTGATTCAATGCTTGTAAGATGGAGATGCAAGGATTCGTTTGGGATTTAATTTCGACGGAGTATCCAAGGAAAATGTTGTCTTGGTGTGTGCAAATTGATTGTTGGTCGATTTAATTTCAATATTTGTGTGATCATTTAGAGTATCCGTTAATTGAGAAATTTGTAAACTACGGAGGAGATTCTATCGAAATTTTATTAGATACTTTGGAAAATTATTAATTAAATAAATGTGTTTTGCCTTAAAAATGCGAAACAAAATAATGAGGTCCGATTGTACATGAATATATGTTAGATATATCGATGGGTGTTTAAATGATGATTTTCATGAATAAGGTTGCGGAATTTACTATATTTTCTATTACTCATCCCGAATGAATGAACGAAAGAAAGTTAAGGTGTGTTTGTAATCAACGTAAGTGCCGGAGCAAAAATTTGAAAGAGATTGCAATGGTTAAATACCATTTAGGGAGGTATGATTTTATACCCGGATGCTATGATTGGATACACCATTGTCCGAAAATTTTCATCCGACAAAAGGAGTTACAATGAACTCCCAATCCATATCAAATAATGGTGATGGATGCGATCGATACATCATTTAATCGGTTTAGCATAAACGAGATGCCAAATCCTAACGTTCAAGCTTTTTATAACTTGTTGAATGTTGCAAATAGAGAGATTTGGCTTGCTTGTGACAATCACTCATAATTGTTTATAGTTGCCCGATTGTTAAACCTTAAGTTGGAACATCATTTTTTTGAAAGATGTTATGACGAGATGTGAGATGATGAAGGAGTTAATACTAATTGATAAGCTGTATGATAGAGGATTTTTATAGCACCAAAAATTGATGACGGAGATGGGTTTACCGATAAAAAGATCCATTGTTGTAATGAAGCTTGCATGATTTATTGAAGTGACGATAAACACTAATCAAAACCAAAAAAATCCCTAATCTTCTTCTCCCTTGAATCTTTAATCCATCCTCTCACCCCTCATGATTCTTCAACAAAACATAATAAAAAGTATGTCTCTATGAAGAAGTCAAGTTATAGTGATCAAGAGAGATGAGGTTTGTTCTTGTAGATCATAATTGCAAATTATTGACTTTGAGAATCAAAATATTAAAAAAAAAATTATTGAGACTATAATTTTGTGGGGTTGCTTGTCAACGATGTGGGTTCGACAATGATCGTTAGCTATGTAAAGGTGGAGATCAAGCTGATTCGAGCAACCGTGGAGGAGCTATAGGTTTAGGTGTTGATGAAGATTGTCATTCATGGGGTGGTGATTGTTAAGGTTGACGGTAGTGGTTCAAAGGGTGGATGGAGCTTACAAGTGCATTTGATGACACCTTGATTTTAGTGATGGTGTTGTGTTTTCAAGGTTGCTTTGTGAGTTAATGGGTTTCGAGGTTGATTGGGTGAAGAGTGGCTATTGTGGGGCTGCTCGGGTTTGTTTAGGTTTCGGTGGTGTGGGGTTTGGCTTGTGGTGGCTTGCTTCGATGAGGTTTTTTTCTTCTTTTTTTATTTAGGTTAGATTTACAATAGTTTTAATGGGTTTTAGCAAGCTAGATTGACAATAAGGAGCGAATTCGAGTGTGGGAGGTCAAGTAGGGTTGCGATGACATGAACGGGTAATGGCTTGCAAGAAAGGGTTTGGCTAGGCTAGCAAGAGTGGTTGCTTAGGGGAAGATGAATAGTCATAAAGACAAATTGATTTCGTTATTCAAAGGCTATGGGTTGCACTTTGATGTCCAGATTCTTATAAGGGTGTATTAATATTCTATACAAGTAATGGTTTGCATTATTTGAGGTTCATTTCCCTTTTCTAGAGCGTACTATAATGCATTTTTCTACTATAAGTTTTGGTAATTACGTCTTTGTGTTTGATGATTGGTCCGATTAAGTGGTTCTATGATTCTATCTTCTTCCCCACAATCGATGGTTTGTATTGTTTGAGGTTTATTTCATGGGTTTGAAACTTCAACTATCATGGATTTTGAATTTCTAAATTGATATAGTATGCAACGATGTATTTTATAAATAGTCATAATTTTAATAATAATAATAATAATAATCATGAGCACTTCTTCTTGACTCGATTTTATTGAATATTCCACACAATTTTATCAATTTTTGATAGTAAAAAAAGGTACCACTTGTCATTCGAACAACCTCAATTTTAATTTTTTTGACAACACGTCATCTTATGTGGATCGTTAACCATGATTGTATTCTTCATGTCATGCCACATCATATGAATAAGGAATTTTGAACAAAAAATACCTCTCGTGCTAAAATGGTTATCAAAAGCTTAGTTCATGTATTTTTCATGTATTACGCTTAACGATCAACTAGAGATTTGGAAAATATTTGTCAAAAAATCGATATTTTGAATTTCAAATTATGTACATTGATAATAAAAACCTAAAATTACTAAATTGTAATTAGGGATGGCAATGGGCGGGTACCCAACCCATTAGGCCAATCTCATACCCTATCTACTAAAAAATACTATACCCATTACCCTACCTATTACCTACAAAAAATCACTTGCCTATTTCTTTACCCGAGTCCCACCCCTTATATCATACTCAGCCCATACCTATTATATCATACCATGTCTATACCCGTTTACTCGTTATTTTTTTTTATTGAATTTTTTTTTGTTACAAACACTTTTTGTCTAGATTCTTTTGATATAGTAATTTTTTATATATATAATTGCTCATATTTGTATTTTGTGATTTATGTAGACTAAAAGGATTTCAAAACTTAATCTTTGTGAAATTGTTGCTCGAGAAAATGTAATCCTATTGGCCTTGTTGCATGAAATAGTATGTTGCCAAATGAAACTTGCTTCATGCAAAACTGAAAACAACAGCCAATTTAATATTATAATAAACTAATCACGTCTTTTTTCTTGAATTAATCCATATTTTGTCACTGTACTTTTGATTTTTTTTTACGTGCTATATATTTTTTTATTTTTTATTTGGCCATTTTATTATAAATATTTTCTTAACGTGCTCTTTTGATAAGATTTCGATTAATTTTTTTGGCAATAAATAATGGTGGACTAACATGTGTTAAAAAAAATTAATTTCCTATTTTTTAAATTTCATTTTATTAATTTTTTTTTAACACATCACTATTATTTGAGGTGACAATTCACATGTTATTTGTTTTCGTAAAATTGATCAAAATCCTATTAAAAGAGTTATTTTAAGAAAATATTTAGAATAAAAACACCAAATAAAAAAAATACACAGACATTATGCTTTTGATTCATCAATAAGAGAAATTGTTTTTTCTTTTATTTATATTAAAATTTTTTGTTTTAGTATTTTTTATGTTAATGGGTAAAAAATCAGTATTAGTAAGGCAAAAAGAAGATACGCATATTCACGAATAAATTATCTATTAATATGAATAAATAATACTATTTTATTTATATTTAACTCATTACTTATTAGAATATTTTAAAGAACTAATTAATATAAAATTAGGTAAGATATCTATTTTATATTCAGGTCACTGCTATTCTTAATTGGAATAAAATAGATGTAATTTTTTTCGTATATCTTATCGATACTGTAGAGGGATGTGGGTTAAAAAAATGATATATTGATTTGACTACGAATTAATTTTGTCAAGAGCGAGGTTGATGAACACAAATTGCCCACTAAACACACTTGTTATTAATTATGGGTCTAACCTAGCAAGAATCCATCATCTATAGCGTGACTAGGTACTGAAAAAGAAAGAAAAAAAGAAAAAAAGCAGGGGTATTTAATTGATTAACATACAGCTGGCCTATGCACTCAGATCAACCAAGAAACACAGTTCTAATAACAAAAATACTCAAGATTGGAGTTGTAGTTAAGGAATGGGTGTTAGGAGATGAGATTGTAACATCAAAGATTGTTGAAAGTGCTGTGAATAGGCTAGTGGCATCAACGGAAGGTGATGGGATGAGAAAGAGAGCAGCAGAAATGGCGGAATCCGTGCGAGGATCCGCTGCTGAAGGTGGAGTTTCTCGGATGGAGATGGAATCCTTTATTGCTCATATTACTAGGTAATTCATTAAAGTAATATGCTGGTTTCATTTGTCATCACCATGAGAAAAAAAAAACTAATTTGGAAGAAAAAAGAAAAAGAAAGTCGACTAGCGCATTGAATTCTAATTATGCAGTTATAACTTGTTTTCTCTCCCCGGAAACAATCTCAAATTCCAAACTTTCGCTTGTTTAAAAAAAAAAAAAAAAAAAATCTAGTCTGCAACAATTAAGCGCATAAATAATGCAGTATTTAATAATGATTTTACACGACAAAGCATAATTATTGGGAAGAGTATATGCATCATCAAACAATTAACCCGACCGCAAATTAATTAATTATAAACAACTGTTTCTGACATGCCTTTTCCCGCTCAATCATCGATGTGAGATTTCGTTTTAAAATTTGATACTCCTACTAATATATCACTAGTAACAGCTCACATGTATGCCAAAAGAAGGAAACTGAACAAATCTGCTCTTGAATAAGATTTTGAGCTGCACTTTTACAAAATATTTTTTGCATATATTACAAGAAAACCAAAAATAGTGACAGAGTACAATTCGTTGCTAAATAACCAATAAATAGTGATTGAATAGCATATATGATTCATTGATGGAATAGAAATAGTTTGACGATAATTTATCAATGATGGATTTTATTCCGTTGCTATTTATGATATGCTAAAATCATTCTAGGTGTTTTAGAGACGAGTCAGCTATAAAGTCACTATGATAATCAACGACGGGTTACGATTCCGTGGCTATTTTTAATGTTTTTCTTTAGCAATCGAATAAATGTTGTTAAAGTACTAAATTCATCACTAAATCTAAAAAAAGACAGCCTTTTAAAATAAAAAAGAAGCTCATTAGATAATGGAATAGCGACAAAAACTTAATTTTCATAACTAAATAACGACTAATCGGTGACAAGAACTTTTTTATTATTGGTTATAAAAAAATAGACGACCTTCTGAAAATAAATAACAGCTCATTTTATAAAGGATTGTGACGAATACTTACATTCTCGTTAAACAACAACAGATCAGTGATGGGATTGTATCCATTGCTGATCTGGAAAAAAAAATACTAATTTGGAAGAAAGAAAAAGAAAGTCGACTAGTGCATTAAACTCTAACTATGGAGTTATAACTTTTTTCTCTCCCGCAAACAAATTCAAATTCCACCCTTTCCCTTGTTAAGAAAAAAAAAAAAAAAACCATCTAGTCTGCAACAATTAAGCACATAAATAATGCAGTATTTAATGATGAATTTTACACGACAAATCATAATTATTGGGAAGAGTATATACATCATCAAACATGTAACCCGACCCCCCTATTAATAATTGTTTCTGACTTGCCTTTTCCAGTTCAATCATCAATGTGAGATTACGTTTTAAAATTTGATCCTCTTACTACTCTAGTGTTAAAAATATTCTAAAAAATAATAATGCCCTTCAATTAGCCATTGCTTTTTTGGAAGTTAGGTGACATTGCGACCATCCTAGCCAAAAAAAAAAAAAAAGAAAAAGAAAAAGAAAAAAACAGAGAGAAAAAAAAGAAAAAAAACCAATATATCACTAATAACAGCTAACGATGCCAAAACAAGGAAATGAACAAATATGCTCTTGAATAAGATTTTGAGGGTCACTTTTACAAAAAAAAACAAAAAACAAATAAATAAATAAATTTGCATATATTGCAAAAAAACCAAAAAATAGAGATAGACTATAATCTGTCGCTAAATTATGAGTAAATAGCGATTGAATAACATTTGCTTGATTTAGTGACGAAATAGAGACGATTTATCGGTGATGGATGATATTTCATTTCCATCATATTCCGTTTCTATTTGTGATGCCAAAATATTTCTAGGTATTTTAGAGACGGGTTGGCGACATAATCACTATGGCAATCAACGACGGGCTACTATTCCATTATTATTTTTAATGTTTTTCTTTAGCAATAGAATATACGTTATTAAAGTACTAAATCCGTCACTAAATCTAAAAAAATGGACTGCCTTTTGAATTAAAAAAGTCATCCATTTGACAACGTAATAACAACAAAAACTTAATTTTTGTCTCCAAATAACGACTATCCAGCGACAAGAATGTTTTTGTTGTCTGGTTGTTAAAAAATTGACGACCTTCGGCATTAAATAGCTACCCATTTTACAAATAATTAGAGACGAGATACTTATGTCGTTGCTAAATAACAAACGATAGGCTACTATTCCATCACTATTTTTAATCACCTCATCCATTTAACATTGACGAGGTGTCAAATCTCGATGCGTATAATTTTTACGAAATGTTGAAATTATTGAATAGAGATTTGGCTAAGAAGTGAAAATCACTCACGGTTGTCCGTAGTTGCCCGAATGTTAAACCTTCAACTAAAACAACATTTTTTCAAAAGTTGTTACGATAATTAATGTCAACTAACAAAGGAGTTGATGTTTTCCGATAACTGTATGATAAAGAATTTCTACGACATCAAAAAGTTAGTGAAGGGGATGGGTTTACTAGTTAGAAAAATCCAATGTTGTAATTGTAGCTGTATGATTTTTTAAGGTAAAGATAGTAAATTAACTACTTACAAATTCTATTCTCATCCTCGATATGGAAGTCCGAGACAAGGATAAGTGAGACTAAAAGTTGTTCCATATAAAAAAAAATGTAATACTTCTCGCACCCTCCTTGCTAGCAAAGACTATATATAATGAATGCCAGAACCAATGACATGACATGGCATGCGGAGCATGAGGTTAAAGACAAAAGCATAATACGTCATTATTCTGAATCTATTGCATTGAAGCATTTCGAGTCAAATGCATCTTTCTTTTATGCTAGAAAACGGGAATGTTAGATTGGGAGTTGACAACGATGGGTTCCAACCATTCATTCAATTCTTTTTAATCGGTGATTATCACGCCTTATAATTTGCCACGGTGGATATGTATGAAGGAGGAATATATGTTTTTAATCGTTATTATGTCTAGACCAATAAATCTAAAGAATATATAAGACATGTACTTACAAATCCTAATTTTAGAGTTGTTTCAATTGTATAAATTTGGTGTGTTTAACTACGATGTGTCTCGAAAGTAAAATTTTTTATTACGAGTCGTAGTTATATGGAAAATCAATGACTTTCCTATACATTTAAAGTTGTCTAGTTGGAGTAGAGTAAAAAAATTAGCATGTCTTTAGTACATGGAGAAGTCGGATGCATTTAGCCTTCCTAATGAAAGAAAGATGTTGTAATTTGACAATCATCATAAGTTTCTCCCTACAAAATATCTATTTAAGAGGAACAAGAACTCATTCATAAAAAATAGAGTTGTTTCAAGTAGTCCTCCCCCAATTTGGTCCGGAATAAATATTTTGGAGTAGATAGATCTTTAGGGGTTGCTGAAAGTGATAAAAAAAGGAGCCGATGTAAAAACAACATTAGAAAGTCTAGAAAATATGGTTGAAAGAAATATAGTATATATTGGAATTTTTCTTATTAGATGATTAATCTCATTTATCACAATTTGGATGGAATACATATTGAAAAAAATATCTTCGACAAAGTGTTTAAAACAGCGACATGTAATTAGCAAGAGATAAAGCCTCGGGAAAATATCCTAAAATAAGTTTTGTGCTAGACAAACAACGAAAGACGGTCTTGCTTGAATATATTAGATAACTCGGGTTTTTGGATGGATATATATAGAACATGGCTAGATGTGTTGATATGAATAAATATTTTATGACATAAAAGTTATGACTTGTCATTGTTTATGCGAGAGATTAATACCTATTGTATTGCAAGAGCTATTGCTAGTAAATATTTAGTAAGCACTAACCGAGTTGATTTTATTCTTCAAGGACTCGACTTCTATTCTTATAAGGGTTAAAGATATGATATGTCTTGAGATAAAGATATTCCTAATTTTATGTAAATTAGAACGTATATTTTCATCAATTTTCTTTAACTTCATGAAACATCTTTTAATCCAACTGGCATATGAAGTAAGGATAGCAAGACTAGTGCAATATGGATGGATGTATCCATTTGAAAGGCAATATTATTGGTTTTGAATGTTAACTTAAATAATTTTATAATTATTAATTATTAACCAAATTAATAGTTTATGTATCGTCAAAAATTTAAGGAATAAATTAAAAATTAAAGGGTTAATATGCGAGTGCATATTTAATGGAGGAGGCATCAATGTTCTATTCGTACTACTTTAAGCCTCATGTGTATGCTAAGCTTTAAAAAGTGCCACATAACATTGACTATGGTTGAGAATCAAGTGATGACATTGAAGATATGCTTTTCATATTCAAACCTCAAAGTCAGCCATTTGGTAAAGCAATAATAAGAAAGTTGACAACGGAAGAGCAAAAAACAGCCCATCAATATATATTATTGAACTACAACAAAGTTAAACCTTACATTAAGTAAATGTGCAAAAAAACTATTATAATTTAATGAAGATATTTGACCTCTTTAGTTAGCAATCATAATAAATACACTTATTCAAGTATATCGTTATTTCTTGACAACTTTTACGTTGCCCAACTAGAACAAAATAATCCATACATGCCTACGAATGATGTTGATGATTAACTTGAAAATGTTTTTACCTTCGGTTTAGTGAATATGTAAGTATCCTTATTTTAGATCTTGTTCTATTTGTAGGTTATTTTAATTAATTGTTAACTATAATTTACGGTGTGGATGTTGATTTTATAGATATATTATTCACAAGCCAATTATATGACAAACCAATTCATAAAATATCTTACAAAAGGTGCTTTAAGAATAGTGATGTTGTACCTAAGGTACTTTGTGAATGGATATAGGTTTCATATCGAAGACTATGACTTAAACAGAGTAAGAATCAATGATGGAGTTTGCATAAAAAGATCTAATTATAATGCGGATGAACGTGACAATTACGATAAGCTTATTGAAATTTTACAATTGGAGTATCTTAGATTGCCAATCCGGATGATCTGTTTT